AAGATTTAAAATATGTCTCTCTGTATTTACATATATACCTATATAATATATACATATATTTATACACATATATAAAATATATAAAAAGAATGTATGTACAACACATACATGATGTATGCACATATAATATATACACCCAATCAATATATAATTATATGTGTGTATATAAGAGCATATATAATATGCATATGCATGTATACATATAAATACAGAGAGAGTATTTGTGTGTGTGTGTTATAATGCTGTACACACTTGTTATGAGCAGCCTAAAAGCAAAGCTCTACCTAAATTGTAGAAGATGGGAGGGAAGGAGGGAGGAAAAGAGGGAGTAAGAGAAAGAAAGCAAAGGAAAACAAAGAAAACCAAGGCTTGCCAATCTACGTCTCTCTTTAAGAGGGATATCAATTTTTGTAGAAAACAATTAACTTCTATCATGGCTGAACTCCTTGCCCTGACCTCTCTATTTTATGCACATGCAGTTTTAGAAAAACAGTTGGAAAAGACAACACTACACAGCACACTAAAGGACGTTTCTTATATTTATTGTACAGGTGTGTGATGAGAAAAACTAATTTCAAAATCAGTCGAGTATGAGAATTTCCTGTTTAGCCTTCAGAGACACATTAATGAGAAATCTCTTTTTCCACTCGTGACTCACCCTGAGCCTCATGGGGCAGCCTGCTTAGTTCACTGTCACTGTTGTCCTAGATTTCTGCCACTGACTTTCATCTTTCGGTGCTCAGTTCCCACAGACCTCCTGTCAGCCCCTCACCTCACTGCATGCAGGAGGCCTGGCTTTCTGGCAGGAGAGAGCGCTTGACACTGGTCTCTTCACCAGCCCAGTCAGTTGACAGAACACTGCAAATGTGACATGTGGAGGAACCAAGCAGGAATGTGGATGCCTTTGAACAACTCGGATAATCCAAGCCTGTAATTCCCCGGAGGACTACCTCAAAGTTCTTTCCTTGTTTTCTGTGGAGAGTCAGCCAACCGCTCGTATTTGTACTTTCTTGTCGTTGTAATTAAATCTACAGCCACAGGAGACCTGATGATGGAGTATGGATTTTAAGTGTTGTAATTTGTGCTCTGTGGATCCTTGGATAGCAACATATGGATTTATCCCAGATGTCACAGATTATTGAAAGGACTCTCACTGAGTAGAAAGAACAGTCATAGTAGAAATTAAAGCTAAAAAATAACTAGCCTTTCCTGAGAGCTCTGCATGCCAGAGGTAAGTATTAATTGCCTTATAAAAGTATTTTTTTCATATTTTAGACAAATGCACTGGGCTATTGGTAACTATCCAAAGGTCACATGTAAGTTTTAAAGCCAAAATTAGTTCTAGATCTTGCTTATTCCCAGGCTAATTAAAACAATTATCAATTATATTGAGTTATTACAGTTGTATTGTATGTGATAAAATGACACTGACTTTGATGGACTCATATCATTTGGGAATGTTTGAATCATCATTCTAGTATGAATCATTTTTATCATGTTATGGTTTCACATGTTGGATGATTGTTTCTTTAAATAAAATGGGTTTTAAAATCACTTTGTAAGTATTTTGAAATCCATTTATTTTATGCCAGATTTTCTGACATAACACTTTCCAACAATTGCAATGTCTTTTAATATTTAGTCATTTCTATGACTAAATTATAAATTAAATTTAATAACATGCCATTTAATTTCATAAATATATTAGCTATTAAATGTAAGGCTAGTTTTATGTGCATGTATGTGTATAAACTTTTCCTAGACTACCCATTTATGGCAGTCAGTCTTTACTCATTGTTGGATTTAAATTTATTATAAAAGTCCAGAAGATTGTTATTAAGCTCGCACACATGTATGTGTAACAATATTTAAAGAGGATATCATGTATTCAAGAAAGAGTGGAATGCATGGGACAGGCTGGAAGGAAAGAGAGAAGGATGGAAATGATATAAATATGCTACTCATATGTGAAAGTCTCGAGACAATAAAAATTTAAGTTGCAAAAATTAAAGCAACATTTTTTTCCTGTAACTATTCTTTATAGTATAGGGATCTTTGATGTAAGGTTTAAACATTTCATAGTGTTATACCCATGAAAACTAAATTTAATTTGTAAATTTTTTTTGTTTACAGACATCTTTACTCCTCACAAAGTTATTGTGCTATCAAAAATATTTTACCAATAGTGGATTGTCTTTCAAAACTCTATTTATTTGTTTATTTATTTATTTTTACCACAGCACATGAGTTCATTGCTCAAGGGGAAAAACAGATTACAAATTAAAACCACAAAATGGGCTCCAGTGTTCCAAACCCCACCCATGGCTGCATCAGAATGTGTACCTTTCAGTGAACAGCTGCTTGGCACAGGCCCTGGCATCATTCAGCTGCCGAGATGAGCAACGAAAGAGTCACCTATGCAGAACTGAATGTGTCGAAGCATTCAAGGAACCAGAAAAGGCAACCAAGGGGCACCCGCAGCTCCATCTCAGTAACTGAGCAGGAAATCACCTATGTGGAATTGGGCTTTCAAAATACTTCTCCAGAGCATCCCTCAGTCTGCAGGGACTGCTGCTGCAAAGGTGAGACACTGAATGGACCCTTACTGTAACTGCTCTCACATAGGTGCAGAGGTGGCAATGGTTTCTCCTTGTGAAGACTGAGAGCTCTAACTCAACCCATGCTTTTATGATTTGTGAGCATGGATGTTATTCTGTTGCAAAAATTTACGATCTTTCTCTTGTGATTAGACTGCCTACAGATGATAACGGTGTAGAGGAGGATCTGGGGTCAACTTTTGTCTGTTTTACTCACTGTGTATGTGGATTTTTGTGTACATAAACCTTGTGAACTGCTGCTACTTTTCATCCCTACATTTCCTTCTGCAGGTTTTCCATCTCCTCCGGAAAAACCCATCACTGTGATCCTGGGCATGGTCGGTTTTGCCTTAATGGTCGCTGTGGTTTTAATTATTACAGTTGCCAAACCCTGTAAGCATGTTTTTAAAATAATGACTAAAAATGGCTTTCAAAACTTATCAAGAACAGTGGCTTTTAATTAAATTATGCATGTGAATTAAATGTGGAATGTTATTATGAATTTATCAATATCATGAATACCAGAGCTATTGTGTTTGCTTTTGGTTTATTAATGATTTCATAACACAAATACATAGATTAAAACCTGAGAAACTCTTAACTGAGATTTTTTTGAAAGGGTTTTGTCATAGGTTGTATGTGAAAAGATGATGAAATTTGTGCTTTCATTGATGTAGTTTTTTCCAAAGTTTTCACCATATTATTTTTTTTGACAATTTCAATTCTATTCTCCAGTATACTAATTCAAAATAATACATCATCTCTAGACTAGAAAACTAAAATTGTTACAATATTTTACATGTTTATTTTCATAAGAATTATTTTAACACACCCAATCCTGAAGCAAAGGAGCAGATCAACTACTCCCTGACTAGAACCGAGAGAGATACACTTTGCTAGTCAAAGTTCTGATGTTTGTACACATTATATTTTGTGTTTACTACTATGCAAAGATGGTAGTAGATTTCAAAGAATAAAATAATCTAGAAACATGAACACTACATGTTCATCAGTAAACATTAACGATAATAAACTTTTTGTCCCACAATAGGAATAAAATAACCATGCAAAGTTTTTAATAATACCTTTTATTTTCCAACTGGTGAACTTTAATGATAGAGAAATAAAGTCACTATTATAGAATAGAACTTATTTATGTTCAGAGACTTTGAAAATTTCAGAGTAAAGTCTTGTGTATTTAGTTTAGCTAGATGAATAACACTGGGGTTATAGGACAGACTCTATTTTTGTGTGCTTGAATGTATATTTTTTATTTATCAGACTGTATGCTGTGTAGATAAATACTTTATATAAATCTCCAAAACAAAAAAAATTAATTTTCATTATTTAATTCATGTTGCTTATAGATAATAATCTTTATTCACCATTTTACTTGACTAAATAATTTAATAAGAATTATTTTAACCCTGCAGATACTGAACCAAAGGAGCAGATCCAATCTTCCCTGAACAAAAGTCCAAAAGGTACACTTTGCTTGTCAAAGTTCTGATGCTTGTCCACAATGTATTTTGTGTTTTACTTAAGCCAGACCAAGATAATGATGTATTTGTAGGAGGAGAATGATCGTATATAAAACTATGGGCCAGAGGTTGCTACTATGCTTGAGTATGTTTGAGTCTGCATTTTGTTTTCTAAGGAAAAGCATCTGGAGTTCATGGGTATAGTTTATACATGGATGCTCCAAAATATGCAAACATAAATTAACTTTCATTATTAAATTCCT